TCCTGCTGAGTTAGTGTTTGAAAATACCCAGTACAGTGCCTGACCGATGTTGAGCACTTAAGTGTTAATTGAATCTTCGGCCCTGAGTCCTGGCCTGGGTTGGTTTTTAGTGGGTTTAGGCGGTGGTACTGGAGAACAGTTGGATATAGATCAGCAGAATGAACTTAGTTGAAAATGACAGAGTGTGTAAATTGGTAGTGCTGACCTTACTCTTCTGTAGATGATTTTTACCTTCAAATAAATTGATTTAGTATCAAACTTTTACTGAATGACATGTACTGGGCACTGTACGAGGCACTCCAGGAGAATAAAATGGGATAAGATTAGAGTCTCTACATCCTAGTGGGAAAGACAAAGCATATCTGAATGAAGATTGTGACAGCAGTTGCAGCATACTCAAAAGCACAGCATTGTTTAAGATGTATCTAAACGGGACTACTGCTCAGGGCACTGGCTGTGGAAGGACCCCTGAGGTCACAGTCACAAGACCTCTTGTTCACCCTCTATCATGCAGTCTGTTGTGTCCTCTGTAGAAAGTCACTTAATCTCTCTGAACCTTATTTTTATCATTTTAGTAACACCTAACAGTTGCATAGTCTTCCAGAATAGTTAATTAATTGGCTTATTTAATGATTATGGTAGATTCTGTACTAGGCACTGGGAATACATTGAAATCTAAGATGTGGTCTCTGTTGCACACACTGTGCTAGTACTTTGTGGACAGATGTGGTATATGCTAGACAAGTGCTGAAATGGAGGGGATTGCACAAGATGCTTTGGGAACTCAGAACAGCGTAATTGTGCCCAAGGCTATTAGAATAGGCTTTGAAAGATGGTGTCCTTGAGCCAGGCTTTGAAGAACGAGTAGAAATGTGCCTGTTGGACAGAGAAGGAGTGAAGGGCATCCCAGGAACAGGGAATCTAAAAGATTAGAATTGGGGAATAAGATGTGTATTTGACCAAAAAATGGCTCATAAGGAGGCTGGAATGCAGAGTGTGGGAAGGAATGGGGTGACTGGAGATGAGGCTGTAAAGATAAAATGAGGTCACATTGTGAAAGAAATTGAATGGCAGTTTGGTTTGGTAATTGAGAATGTGAACTTTGGAAAAAGACCTTAGTTCGAAACCTGGCTTTGCCACTCAATACCTTTGTGGTAAAATCAGATTCTTAACCTCTTTATGTCTCCTTTTTCTCACCTCTAAAAGAAGAACTAGCTATATTGCCCTTATAAAGTTGTTAAGAATGAAAACTAGTAGGCATTTACCACATGGTAAGCACTTGACAAACGGTAGTTGTAGTTAGGATTATTGTGAGAAGTTTGGGTTTTATCCTGTAGTCAATAGGAAGCTCCTGAAGAGTTTTAAGCAGAAATATGTTTCAGAAGGATAACTGTTGGCAGGACAGTGGTGGCAGAGAATAGGACTGAATTGTTCTTTAGAAGGTAGAATCATCCCACCTGGTGATGACACTATAGGGAATGAAAGGGAGAGGGTTTCAGGATGACACTCAGGTTTCCACTGGAGCAGATGGATTGAAGGTGGGGCCCCATTTCCTGAGGTATGAAACTCAGAGAAGGAACATGTTTATGGAGGAAGAAAAGGAGTTAGTTTTGGACCCATTGAGTTTGAGGTACCTGCAGGACATCTATTTGGAGATGTTAAGTAGGCACTTGGATATGATTCTGGAATTCAAGAGAGACCTCTGGGCCAGAGATCTAGATTTGAGAGTCATAAGCTGGTGCTTGAATCTAGAGAAATGGATGATATTACACAGGGAGAGATTTGAGAGTGAGGCCAGAAGGCTAACCAGAGTCCTAAAGAATGCAGTGTTGAAGGTTAACACTGAGTAGGAGAAGGAATTGGCAAAGGAGCTTGTGGAGAAATTGTCAGAGAATCGGATGAGAGCAGAAAATCAGTATCGTGACCTCAAGATAGAGTCCCAAGAAGGGAGATGTCAGCAGTTTTGAGTGCTGCTGAGGGATCAAACAAGATAGGACTTAAAATGAACATTGGATTCAGTGACTGAGGTAGACTACCCTTACTAGAGAAGTCTTCGTGAGGCAGAAGCCAGTTAGGCGTTGTCTGGGAGTAGGTGGGAGGTGAAGAAATGGAGATAGTGTCGGCAGTTCTTTAAAGTAGCTTAGCAGTGAGAGGAAGAAAAGAGGTTTGAGAGAGCAGCTAGAGAATGACTTCTGGTTCAGTGGTTGTGTGTGTGTGTGTGTGTGTGTGTGTGTGTGTGTGTGTGGTTGGGGAGACTTGAAAAAGCTAAAATCTTGGCAGGAGGAAGCCATTGGGGAGGGCAGAGGGTAATTGTTAGTGTAATGCCTCCATAGCCTAATGAAGAGAGATCCCAAGGACAGACAGGAATTTAAGTCTGGGGAGTTGGAAGCAAGGGAAAATGCAGTTGTAGATGTAAGTGGATTTGTTGATTTGGTGGCAGGAAGTTGAGGGGGTTCTCATCTGAAACAGGAGGCAAGGTCTCATGTGGAATGTGATAGTAGGTGAGCTCAGGGATTTGAGAAGAGGGAGACTTGAAACAGTAGCAGAGAATGGGAGAGTAAGCTTCCAAGGAAGCAGTAAGGTTGCTGCTTATTTGAGGTTGAAAACTGGATTCAGTAGCCTTAATAATATTCTCTTTTTAAATTTTGTTCAGCATCGTTCATTGGTGCAGACATAGAGGAGACAGAATAGGTTTTATCTGAGATTGGTATTTACTAAGCAGATAAAACAGAAGGAAGAGGGACAAGGGAATTTAGGGTATTGGGAAACAGCAGTTAAAATGAGAAACTATGGATTCTAAGCTGAGTAGGACGGGATGTGAAAAAAGGAGGAGGCTGATTGAAAGGGAGAAAGTAGTGGTCTAGACGTCAGTGTGATAGAAATACAGGCGTGATGGGAGTAATTGAGGGTGGGTGTGAGCTGGGAGGATAGGATATTGGTAGAGTGGGATGTCAGAATTAATTATTTCAGAGGTGGAGCAGTTTTGGACACTGACAAGGTCCAGTGTACGGCCAGCCCCTCAGGTAGAAGGCTGTAGGGGAGGGAAGAAAGTCATTAAACCGAGACATCAGGGTGAGGGATGGGCCCTTTGTTTTGAGGGTGGAACATAACACAGAATGGTGGAGAGGAAAGCTCTTTTAAGTCAGGTGCCACAGTCTTCAGTGTCAATCCTTGAAAGTAGAAGCTGATGATTATCATATGGATGAGTAGTATCGGATGGTACACCCAATTACCTTGAGGCTCCGTGAACAAGAGTTTTTATGAAGGAGCAGAGGAAGCACAGCTGGGAAATAGTGGGGATCAGTGAGGATGCCAAGTCAACATCGGGATCTTGATTCAGTGTGGGAAGACAAACAGCTCCCTCTTGAGGCGGGGTGTGGGGGGGCTTTGGGAGTTCCAGACAGCACATCGCAAAGGCTTCGGAGAACAGGAGCGAGCAACTGTGTTATGGGGGGAAAGGAAGCACTGGTTATGAGAGTGAAAATGAAATGTGGGAGGAGCTCGTACCTTTGACAGTGGCTGGGGAAACCAGAATGTGAGATGTTAATGGATATGATTCTGGCATAGGTGAAGGGGCACTGCAGTTTAGTCATGGCTTACAGGGGACCTTACTGTGATGTGTGAGTGGACGGTAGCAGTTGTGAGGAGCAACAATGCAGCTGCTTAGTCCAGTGCTGGGACAGGAGGTTAGTGGATGATGCCAAGTGTGGCAGGGAGGATGAACGGTGGGGGCGGGGAGGGTGGTGCTGCTAACCTTCCATTTCTGCCTTTCCATGAGGCTCAGGGCCTCATGGCATCCTCATCTGGCTGGTATTTAGCTATATGGATTTTTTGGTAGTTGGTGTGGTACTGACTCACATACAGACACATGATTCTAACTTTGGAGCTTGAATGGATAGTGATGCTCTTGACTGAAAGAAGGAATATAAGAGAAGGGATAGGTGTCTGTGAAAACTCCAGGTTAAGTTGCTCACTAGCGGGGGGAAGCACAAACACAGATTTGGGAGTCAAATGCATATAGGATTGAGGAAGCCATAGTATGTAGACTGGAAAAAGTAAAAGGGCAAAGGATTGAACTCTGGGGAATACCCAGGAAAAAAAGGGAACAGTGAACGTGAGTGCATGCAATAGTGTGTATAAAACACTTTCATGTGTAAAACAGTTTGAAATGTTTAATAACTTATGAAGTCTTTCATTATATCTCAAAAAACAACTCCTGAATAGCTTAGGTTTACCTTTTTAAGCATTAGTGCTTTTTTTGGTGGGAGTCTTCCTAGGTTCTATTATGTATACTCCTCTTTCCTTAAATTATACAAAGTATAATTATTTTCTTTCTTAATGACTCAGGATAGTTATTGTAAATATCAGTTATTGAATTTTAACTCATAAATTCTTCAATTTCCTGAATATAAAGAACTAGGAGACTTTACGCTGTATGGGCCCAAATTGCTACACACTTGGAACTCCTTTTTTAAAAAATAATTTTAAAAAATTTTATTAAAGTATAGTTGATGTACAATATTATATAAGTTACAGGTGTACTAATACAGTGATTCACAATCTTTAAAGGCTCTACTCCATTTTTACTTATTATAAAATATTGGTTATATTTCTTGTGTTGTACAGTATATCATTGTAGCTTATTTTAAACCTAATAGTTTGTACCTCTTAATCCCCTACCCCTATCCTGTCCCTCCTCCTTCCCTCTCCCCACTGGTAACCACTAGTTTGTTCAATATATCTGTGAGTCTGTTTCTTTTTTGTTATATTCAGTAGTTTGTTGTATTTTTTAGATTCCACATATAAGTGATATTATGGAGTATTTGTCCTTCTCTGTCTGACTGATTTCACTTAACATAATACCCTCCAAGTCCATCCACGTTATTGCAAATGGCAAAATTCCATTTTTTATAGCTGAGTAGCATTCCCCTGTGTATACAGACCACATCTTGTTTATCCACTCATCTGTTGATGGACACTTAGGTTGCTTCCATATCTTGGCAGTTGTAAACAGTGCTGCTGTGAACATTGGGGTACATGTGTCTTTTCGAATTAGTGCAGGGGGTTGGATATACACCCAGTAGAGGGATTGCTGGGTCGTGTGGCAGCTCTCTTTTGAGTGTTCTGAGGACCCTCCACGCTGTTTTCATGATGGCTGCACCAACTTACATTCCCACCCACAGCCACACTTGGAATTCTTGACCTGTTTATTATATTCTGTATATTTTCTCCTCCCCTTACCCTATTTCCAGCTGTCACTTCTTATATCCAGTATGTTTAGAAACCAGATAAATGAGAATTGTATTTAAAATTAAATTGAATGGGTTTAGAGTACCAACTAGGTACTCCTCATTTTAGAAGTTTCAGTTTACGAACTTTGGGCCATTTGTTTTGCCTGTTAATAGGTAACTCTTGGTTATTGTCTCGTTCTTGACTGAATTCTAAGATATCAAACAGTTGAAACGTTGTACAGTGTAGATGCTGAAGGACCTAGAGTAAAGGAGCATCTTAGTGACGTGGACATTTCTTCTCTCCAGAGTATTAAAAGCAGTTCTTAGTCTGGATCTCCCCAGCCTTTCTGGCCATACTTTCACCTGTCTGCTCTGCCTCTTCCCCGCTAGATGTAGATAAGCTCCCCCGAGGGCTCCCCCACGCCTCACCACATTCCCTACTACAGTCGGCTACTCTATTTTCCAGACATGCTCCGTATTTTCCTTCCTCTCATGGTCCTCCTGTCCTTTTCTACCTGGTGAAATGCTTCTCATCCTTCAGTATACAACTCACATGGCCCCATTCTCAGGCCCACTTCAACATTCCTTCCTATGTTTTCCAAAGCATTTCATACATAACATCCTTCACACAGTTTAAGAAGTGTTGTTCATTACTGGTCTAACTGATAGAATTTACCAATAAGCTAAGTTTTTCTCAAATTTTAATATATATCAGAAGCTCTTGGATATAAAAAATTAGACCCCTCAGAAAGTTTGAATCAGTAGATTTGGGGTTGAGTCTGGGAATCTGCCTTTTTTTTGTCTTTACAAGTGTATTTGTTAATTCTGATACAGGTTGTGCGAGGACTATACTTTGAGAAACCAGGGCCCAACTGGTGAATGATTTCCTTCAGGGCAAGGATTGTGACTTAACTTTTGTATTCTCAGGGCTTGTCATGTATTGTAGATGGTGCTAAAGGAATGTTCCTGAAGTGGGGAAGGCCTTTCAGCGTGTAATGTTTGAGTGGAGACTCAAGTTCTTGGCAGAGCCTAAAGAGAGCTTTTTTTTTTTTTTTTTTTTTGCGGTACGCGGGCCTCTCACTGTTGTGGCCTCTCCTGTTGCGGAGCACAGGCTCCGGACGCGCAGGCTCAGCGGCCATGGCTCACGGGCCTAGCCGCTCCACGGCATGTGGGATCTTCCCAGACCGGGGCGCGAACCCGTGTCCCCTGCATCGGCAGGCCACCAGGGAAGCCCCTAAAGAGAGCTTTTAATAATGGTGTAAGAAATAGCATAAGACAACATGTCTCAAGTTCTTCCCAAAACACTTCTGCTAGGACTTGCTTTGTGGGAAGAGGGTCTAGGGGAGTCAGATACTTTTGGAAAATGCTGCCTATTGGATCTGCACCGTCCACCCTTCTCAAGTCACACTGAAATATTCAAGCTTCTGAGAAAGTTCTGCAGCAAAGAAACCCTTTTAATCCTGGATGTTTCAAACTCTAACTAAGCGTTTCCCCCTTACTCTCTTTTCTCAGATAATACCTTTTCATATCTTGCAGAATTAAATGTTCTAGGTATTCTCTTTGGGAACTGCTCACAGCAAAAGTAGAACCGCAGGAATTGGCAGTTTTTGCAGGAGGATGGCCTCTACTTATCTAGAATTGGAGAGTCCATGTTGGGAAATAATAATAAAAGAGATAAAGGAATTGGGGAATGTTGAGGGAAAGACATTTTTTCATAGTAGACTCTAGATTTTTATTTTTATAATTGCTCTAAATTGTCATGTTCAGTTGTAAGTATTAAAATGTCTGAATAGGGAGAAGTAATTCTAGGTGTAGTATAGACTACAGCAGACAGCTTTGAGAACAGAAGACTTGGATTCAGGTAATGTTTGTTGAAATGCAAAAGAAGGTATTAAGTAGATGAAGGATCTGTAGGATCTGGTTACTAATCAGATCTGGGGAAAAAGATCTGGACATGTCAATTCAAAGTTCTAATTTACCTGCATACTTTCTGGATATATATTTAGACTACTAAGGTGAAAAAACACTATATTATTGACAACTGAAAAGATATACAATAGCAGGGAGTAGTTCCTATAAGTTTTTAGAATTTGATTTTGCCTATTTTGTTTGCATTTTATATTTTCTAGTAGTAGGGTAACATTATAATATGGTTTACCATCTATCTAGAAAGAGTCTATTTAGAAATCATTAACTTAAATTGAAATTATAGGCAAAAAGATTATTGCATAAGTTTTTCCTGGAAAAATTAGATTCTCCTCTTTAAGTAAAGGGAGAGCTGCAGGACAAGTGGTCAACTTTGAGTGATTCAATTTGACAGACTTTTTTTATCAGAAACTACTTAGTGCTGACAAAGCAGATACATCTTTATATTGTAACACATTTAATTTAGACAATGTGGAAGTTCTTTCATATTACATCATAATGTAAAGCAGGTTTATTAGGCCATGAGAGTCATAGAATATTTAAACTTAATGTAAAATATAAAACCTAACTTTATCACTAATTTATGCAAGAGGCTTAAAATAATTATCAAGGAGGCTTTATTATAAGATTAAAATTTTTTTTAAATAAACTAATTCCATGGAACATTTTGTAGTGCTCCCTTGGTAATGTTCATACCCAGTGAGCAGAGAAGGTGCCTTTAAGTTTGGAGAGTTAGGACTCTGCCACTGAGTCTATTTCTTGAAAATATAAAGTAGTACAATTGGATGATAGAAATGAATATCAATCAGAAAGCCAAGTGAAAACAGATATTTCAGATATTCAGATAGGGCCTTAATACTTCTTCCTTTTTATTGTCTTTCCAGACAAATGACCATGGAAACAATTGACTCTCAGCAGGATGGAAGTATACCAGATTCTGTGGCAGAGAGCGAATCTGCTCACATGCAGATGCAGACTGGTCAAAATTCAATCCCCACTTTAGCTCAGGTAAACTTAATGTAGGCAACAGGCAGGCACCAATGAAAATTAGCCTGTATGGGAATGAGAATTGTGTGCAGATTCTGTTTTCTTGCAGTTGGTCTTAAGTTTCCCCTATTCCCCGGTTATCAGCCATTCTTACTGATTTGACTTTGAAGAGAAGATACGTGTTTGAATTACTTTTGCATTGTAACAGACACTATGTAAAGGAAAAACAAAAACCCCTCCATAGTATGTATGTAATCCTAGTATCCATAGTATGTAATCCTCAATTTATTATTCGAGAAGTTCAGTAATTCCACATTGAATTCAATTCAGTAGTTTTATATTCTTAGCTATAAAGATGGCAGAAATCTTGCCATTTGTCCAGTGTATATTTGGTTTAATCTTTACTTTCTTTTTAGTTAGGTCTTAAACTTTGAATTAGTTTCATTTAGAGACCACCGATATGAGTTAGTGTTTGTTTTTCAGTTCTTAACTTTATTTTGATATCTATAAAAATATGTAGTAAAAACAATCACATTTATTTAGTTGATCAAATACTTACTGAATCCTTCCTGTATCTAGGCACTATTCTAGATGTGTGGGGTATGTATTTCCTGGCCTTGACATCTCACGGTTTAGTGGGGTAGAGGTGTTTGAGGGGTAATTCTCTCTGTGTAAGAAGTATTGTGGGGAGGGAGGGAGACACAGGAGGGAAGAGATATGGGGATATATGTATACATAAAGCTGATTCACTTTGTTGTACAGCAGAAACTTACACAACATTGTAAAGCAATTATACTCCAATAAAGATGTTAAAAAAAAAAAGTACTGTGAGATGTTACATAGGAATGATTGAGGCGTGCAGCGGGGGAGCAACCCGTTGACCAGGAGTGCTTTGTAGAGGATTTTACTTTTGAGCTGGACACAAAGCGTGAGTAGAGCTTGACGGGTGGAGGAGAGGGAAGCGTATTCTAGGCCAGGGAAGAATGTACAAAGGCAGAGGATGGGGGTGGGAGCTGCAGCGTTGAGGCCAAGTGCAGCCGCGTGTCTGGCCTGGGAAGTTGAGCTGGTCAGAGTAAGCAGAGGGTGGTAAACATTTGGGAGCGTGGACCATCCCGTGTTCTAAATGTTCCTGAGACATTTTCCAGTGTTCACTGTGTTTAAGACACCGGGGACTGTGTGCGGGTTGGATGGGGACATCAGCGAGCTGGGAGCGGGTCCGGGGGCTGCGGGGGTGGACACCATTTGAGTGACATCATGGTGATGTGGGGTGCGAGCAGTGGAGAGACTCCTGCACTATCTTGAAGGGAGAATAGAAACGACCGGATGGCTGCCTGGAGAGCCCTCGGGAGTGCCAGGCACCTCTTGGGTTGTCTCCGGCCAGACTGACTCCTGTGAGGCCTCTATTTTCCCAAGACACCCACGCACCCAGCCTGCTTTTCTTTCCTCTTTCAAGTTCCGGACACCCACTTGCTCCCTGGGGTTTTCTCCTCACAAGTGCTTTGTGGAGCTACATCTCCATGGCAACACCCTTCTTTGTTACCCCGGAAAACAGGCATTCAGACCTTTGCTATTTTTTAAGAAAGCAGCCTTTTTCTTATTAAAAAAATGCATGTTCATTGTACAGAATTGACAAAATGTGTATTATTAGAAGAAAATTAAAGCTAACTATAGTCTTAACATCCAGAAATTTAATTGTTGTTAGCATTTTGGTGTTTATCCTTTAGTCTTTTTGTCTGTGAAAATAGAAGAGAATGCACATATATCTTTTGGTGAATTGGGGGTGTTCTAGAGTTTTTATAACTATGATTCTTGGTCTATAATTCTGCCCTTTTGCTGAAGTGGTAGCTGAAAGCAAATCTTCCTTCTGCCGCCACTTCTCTCCCTTTAGGTACTGGTTTCGTGTCCTCCACACATGCAGTTTCATCCGGCCTTCTGGGCCTGCACGGTCAAAACAACAGATCTCCATTGTCTAACAGTGATAGTTGGCAGTTCTGAGGACCTTCAGCCTGGGTGACACCCAGCCCTGTGAGCCTCAGTCAGAAGTTGCTAAAGAGGTCAAGTAATATGAAGTCCAAAAAATAACCTTGGATTTATGAGGTTTTGGAATTGAATAGGTCCAGTGAACAGAAACCTAGCTTTAGTAGGTTAGAGAATAAATAAGAGGGAGAGGAAATTGGAAGTATAGTTTCTTCAAGAAGTTTTTCTGTGAAATAATAGATAAAGATGGGTCTGTGAAACAAAGGAGTGAGAACTGGGGTGTGAGAAAGCTGGGAGTGTTAAATAAAATAGAAGGGGGGGATAGAGACTTGTGAGAAGGCTGAATCACAGAACTAGGAAAAGGCTGTGGTTTGCATTTACAATGTTTATTACTTCCTTAAAAATCTCAAATATATCAAATGTTGATAGTCATTAAATCTGGATAGCGAGTATATAGACCTGCTATGTTATTCTGTTTTCTCTATATTTAAAATAGTTGATCAAAAAATAAATTATGGTTTTTCTCTTTCACATACTAGGAATGTTAAGAGATTAAGAAGAAATCTGTATGCTGAGTCATTGATTCTTTTGGTTAACTAAGAGTTATCCTCCATGTATATGAGGCCATAAATCCTCTATGGATCATGATATTTTGCAGAATTAGGACACAGTTCTTAGCAGTCAAAATTTTCTAAATGTAATTATTAATTTAGATTCTTGTGATGTCTGAAGCTGTTTATGAGTATTCATTATTATTATGCAATATTATATAATAGAAGGATTAGGAAATCACACTGAAATTTTATTAAGCCTATAATGTATGCTAAAAGTGACTGACTCTTCTGAATAATTCCCAATGTCATTGTATGTACTTGCCACTTACTTCATTTAAACTAGAGGATTGTGAATTCCCAGATGTTTTAGACTTAAGTTCAGGTTTGTATAAAGAGGAATTTATAACAGTTACTTTCCTTTTTACATGGTCTAATTATCATTAAGTAGTGTCGAAACAAAGGGTATAACCAGAAGGTTCAGGGTGTAACCAGAAGGTTCAGTGGGTTTGATCCTTTGCCTCTGGTCATTTGATAGTGGTAGTTTTGAGTATCCTGGCCTTTCCAGAGCTTCTGTTAATCAAGTTAACACTGAAAATTGTCCCAGTTACGAAGATCTGAAAACTTGAGCTTGCTCTTGGCTCTCACACCTCTGCTCTGCTGACTGATTGAGGGAGGCTGGAGTTCTCAGTTTTCAGTTTTTCTGTTTTATAACTTCCCAGATATCAGTGGAGCCTTTCCCTTCTAACTGTATCCAATAGTGAATAGAAGTCACATGGTGACAGTATCAAAGGGCTAGAGGCTGGAGTGGCAGATCATCGAGGTTGAGTACTGTGACTTGGATTTCTTCTTGCCTGAATTAGTTTTTAAAGTAGATTTTTTTGTTTGTTTGTTTAATTGAAGCTGGAATCTTGTCTGGTAAGTGTATGTGTTGATACATATATAAGACTAGATTCTACCCCCCTCCCCACCCTTCCCCCCTGGAAAAACTCTTGTTGGTAAATGGAAGAGTCTATTTTATATAATGAAGCCAGGAGGAAACCCTTTCCTAAAGCTAAAATGGTGAAAAGCAAAATTACTGTATGTACAGGTAGTTTTTAAAATAATACTTACAGCCTTTGGAAATAATATAATCCTTAAATGGGTAATGGGAAGTTATCATTTCTTTTGTGATGAAAGATTTCAAACATATACAAGAGTAGAATAATTCTCCCGCATATATATGTAGAAACTTAAAACTTATTAAGATTTGGTAGCACTTGCTTCATTTATCTTCTTTTTTTTCTTTTTGTTGAAGAATTTTAAGCAGCTCTGCAGATCTCAGACATCACGTCATGTCATTCCTACTTTCTTCTGGGTATGCAGCTCTTAAGAGGTTATGGACATTTTCCTATATAACCAAATGTCATGATCATACCTAATAAAATCGAGCATAATTCCTTGGTATAATATGCACTCCATGCTCACATTTCCCCATTCATCTCACATATGTGTAATCTACTCTGAAGGCAACAGTGGTAGCACCTTGAACTTTTCTTGTTCCACGTCTCGGGAATTGATAATGCTGCCATGAAACTAGGGTGAGTGCGGTAACCCAGATGGAGCCTCAGGAGAGGATGTGCTATCTGGAGCTTCATGCCTTATAGCTGCTGATGCAGCCTGTGGCCTGAGTATGACACCTCGAGTTGGAAAGATAAATAACCCTATTTTGTAAATGGCCAATTCTCAAAGTTTCAGCATAGATAGGAAAGGAAAGGTGAAAGGAGCAGAATCACAGGGGTCATAGAGCTGGAAGGAAACTCGAGATATCAGGGTCAGCGTAGTGCTTCGAGAGAGTTAGTTTTAATATAAAATTTAACCTTTCCGAGAACCTCTGTATTTTTGGAAACAAGGAGACTCTGGAGCAGAGGAAGCCACTAGGGAATGTTGTTCAGAGATTATACTCTGCTAACCTTTCTTTTTTTTTTTTTTTTTTTTTTTT